GGCACTGGATAGTTGGCCAATCAGAGACACCTCGCTTTTTTAGAACGATGAGCTTTGTAAAAATCGACGTGTTTCAGAAAGGCAGGGCATAGAGGAGAAAAAGAGGAGGTTTTTTTAACCTTAAACCGCATAAACACATTTCATTACACCAAATACACAAAATAATGTTCTTTTTAGCAACATCATATGACCCCTTTAAAGTTTACCTGAAGTATACTGGCAATAGTTCCACTTTAGCACAATCAAATATACTTCAGCATATCTTTAGCTGGACTTCAGCACTACTTCTGCACAATTAAAGTGCATTAAGTACACAATTAGTTGTTCCAATTTAGCAGACTTTAAGTATATCAGTTTAGTATACTAAAAGTACAATTGCAGGGTATTTTTATTAAGTACATAAATATGTAAATGTATTTGTAGTATACTTAACATGACATGAATGTATTTCAAATGCATTTTAGTATATTCCTTTTTCACTGGGGTAAATGTATGATCTTAAAGTTTAAATTAAATGTAAATTAATTTAAATTAATTGAGCCTACATACAAATTTCTTTAAAAACTAGTTTAAATTCACTTTTTTTTTTTATTGATTAACTGAATTTCATAGAAGTCGATGAAACAGCCAAAAAGTGCCCAACATACATGTGAACTCCTTAAATGCATTTCAAAAAGCATCCCAGAATGCACTTTAAGGTGCAGAGCTACATAACTCACATACTTCCATTGCTGTTATTTCATAGTTTGCTGACTTTACTATTATTCCAAAATCTGGAAAATTATAATAATAAAGAATGAGTATGCACATCCAAAGAAGCACTGTACTGTACTGTACTGTAGGTTAATTCTGTTTAAATATGTAATTAGGTTTTTTAATTTAAACTGTCTGAATAACTTACGGCACTTCTTAAACCGGCTTTGGCATTTGTCCTGAGCGAGACGCTGGCAGGCAGAGGGGTCGAGGGTCGAAGAGCAGGATAGTGTGTAGAAGTGGCAGAGCGTGGTAAATTCTGACATCTGCTGTTCTTCAGACAGCTCAGTTGTCTTAAGCAGCTCAGGACATGTGGGCTCCCGACTCCCAAAGGACTCTGGAATTTGGAGAATGGAATGTAAACGATTTTACAGGATTTGTGGCTTTTCATTGAGCAGAAAGAGTGGGAGGGTTTAAACTCACGGTGGTGTGTGTGCAACATGTTGAGCAACTCACTCTGTATCTCTGTCATGACCCAATCAGAGAAGGCAGTGACCCGTGTGTAAACGCCAGGCTTTCCCCTCTCCCCACAGCCATCCCCCCAAGAGGTGATGCCAAACAGCTGAAACCGTCCCGATAAACGGTCCTGGAAGATCAACGGCCCTCCAGAATCACCCTGTACACATGCAAAGAGACAGATTCAAGTCAGGTGATTGTAAAGCAGCTGTAGTGTTTATAAAGCATATGTGATGTTTCTTCATCAGGTGTGGGGTTCATAATGCAAGCTAGTATGACAATGTGGAGATACCTGGCATGAGTCAATGCCTCCAGACAGGTACCCAGCGCAGAACATGGTGTTTGTGAGCAGCTCCTTCCCCAGTGCACTGCGACAGGTGGTGTGAGACAGCAGGGGCACCTTCGCCTCCATCACCACATCTGCAGAGGGTCCGTCTACACACATACAGAGAATCAAGACAAACATAAATAAACACTTCACAACATTTTAAGCAAACATTGTGTGATATTACTGAGCGCTTTTTCTAAAATGTGAGCTATGCAGATTTTCTTACCCTCATACAAAGAGCCCCAGCCGGCCACCAAGCAGAGTGTACCAGCCGGTGGATCCAGGTCAGAGGGCAGGCAGACAGGTGTGACCCGTTCAGACAGAATTACTGGAGAACTCAACTCCACCAGAGCAATGTCGTTATTAAACGTCTTTGGGTTAAACTACACCAAGAGAAAAGGATTGGACACATTGCTGTTAAAATGGTGTATTGTTCTGCTATTTTACAACAGCTTGAAATGTCGCTAATCCAAAAATCCACCTGTTTTATAGACCTTATGCGTCAGAGAGACAAATGCACAGAAAAACTTCCATTTTTGCGGTAGCTCACTGTTAAAGAGTAATTAGCTGGTGAAGTGGATTTACTTATTGTAGAGCTAACGAAAGTTATCATGTGCATTGTAATGTTCGAAATGGATGTCATAACAAATGTCAGTTGACCAGGAAGATTTTAAAACAAGTGTTTCATTCATAAATTTCTTTTGACCTTAACTTTATGCTGTGGAAATACAAACCGGAGGACAGAAGACAACGAGCGCAGTGCTGAAAAGGGGCAGGGCTACATAAGGTCTATAAAAGTGCAAAATAATGCCGTTACATGTAACTAATTACTCCCCAACACTGAAGATATCCCACCTGACATTAAGTTTTTAAATTATATAGGTATGTATTTTGTAATACATGCAATATATATTTTTTACCCAGCAAAGCAGTGGGCGGCAGTGAGGACCCAAGAGCTGTCAACCAGCACGCCCCCACACATCAGAGCCCCGTCCAGCCGAAGGTTCACCAGCCATGGCCAGCTGCCCAGAGGAGCAGGAGATCCCCCCATGATACGAGCGCGAGACTGTGTCAGGTTTTGCGAGACAGAGAAACGCTGGCCACACACAGCTACATAAGGGAAGCCAAATGATCAATGTCAAAGCTGAAATTACATTAAAAGGGACCTTCATTATTTATATATCAGTAAAACTACATGTTGATTTTTAAAGAAACATTTGAAAGTTCATAATCCACTGAACTTTTTGTGTTTTTTGTCTTACCCTGTGCTGTGGTCTGTGTGACCGGCTCCAGGTTCTGCATGGTGTTGAGTAGACTGCACTGCAGGACCCGAGCGCTGCAGCTCTTACCCATGATTCTGATGCACAGGTCTCTGTTCACCTGTGCAGGTGTGCAACGGCGTTTGTAGAAGCCACAGGCCTGACTCAGCAACCAGCTCCTCTCTCCTTCATCAGCTTCCTGCTGGGCGCGAGATATGACCTCACAGCTCGGCTCTGACTGTGTGTCCTTTGGAGATGCTACGGAGTAACCACCACCATCAGCATCCGTGTTTAAAGTCAAAGAGTCAAATAAAGCATGTGTGTTCAAAGTTTACCACAGGCGCCTTTTCGTTGTCCACAGTCCTGAAACAGACAGGGCACACACCCTTTGCAGCCTGCCTCGGCCTTGCTGCGGTCCGATACGGCAGCGTCTATGGCAGACAGAGCGCGGGACAGAGCGGCCTCCATCACTACTGTTCCTCTATCAGACAGCGCTGCAGAGAGAAGCAGAAACAGATGTAAGCAAAAGTGAGCACATCCCTCAAAACAACCAACACAAAGCAAATCAAAGGAAAACATTAAAAGTAGGTATAAAGAAGAAATATGAGACATTTAACCTCACCGGAGCAGATGGTGTTTATGTGAATTGGAGAAGACGAATGCAATATTTTAGTTTCAACAATAAAATGGTCAGATATGCATATAAACAAATACAAAAACTTCAGGACAGAGACCCAACTAACAAAAATATGTACTAAGAATGTTCAAAATGTCCAGATTTTTAAATGTTTTAAAAACATTTCAAAACTCTTGGTTGTGCATACGTTAAAAAATCATTGAGGGACCATTCCATTTAATCATTTTGCAAGCATTACGGTAATGTTACTTTTGAATGTTCTCTGAACAATTCACGAATTCCCAACAATAAAATGGTCAGATATGCATATAAACAAATACAAAAACTTCAGGACAGAGACCCAACTAACAAAAATATGTACTAAGAATGTTCAAAATGTCCAGATTTTTAAATGTTTTAAAAACATTTCAAAACTCTTGGTTGTGCATACGTTAAAAAAGCATTGAGGGACCATTCCATTTAATCATTTTGCAAACATTACGGTAATGTTACTTTTGAATGTTCTCTGAACAATTCACGAATTCTGTGAATGATGTATAAATAACGGTTTTGTCCTAACATTTTGAGAATGTTATTAAAGACCTGATGACTTTGAATGAACTTTTTATTAACATTGCTGAAGAGAACCTTGCAGGAACGTTCCCCTGTTCCCTGTTAGGTGGGGAGAAATCCAACATTTGCAAACAGTCTGAATAGATTTCTTCAGCAAAACAAAACCCATTGGGAATCTCTCAATGCAATACTGGCTGTGATAAAACTACATTTATATAATAAATATTGTAATAAATGTAATACATTTATATAAAAACATCTATATGTGTGCAGTATTTTATCAGTAATGGTTTTTCCAAGACACCAAACGCAAAGTTCAAACACACCGATTCACATTCAGCTGTCCCCTCTTCTCTATATCCCAAAGAGTGTGAGAGACATCAAAGCTGATTGAGATCTTAATTAACGGCCTGAACTCTGGCCTCTGTGGTGACTACGCTAAACTCCTTTTGAATTCATTAACGTTAGAGAGACAGAGAGGAGGGGGTGAGAGAGAATGAGAGAGGGAGCATCTGTCATTCAGCCAATCTCTGAATGAGAGCATTGTGCTCCTCCCTGAGAGTTCAAAGCGAGCGAATGTGGCGATCACAGGCACGCCGACCTCCTTGATCACTTTCACGCTTTTATGTGCTCCATTAAAATATTGTCAGTTCAGATAATTGCATCTTTCTCAGCTCAGCATAGCCTCATAGCATAAAAACATACAACATTAAAAAACAACAGTTCATCATTTGTTTACTCGTTACTGGTTGAGGGTTCGTAGAAAAGTTTGGGTCTTGCTTCTTAATTTGTTAGATAGTCACAGAAGTTGCTTTCTAAATCTTTTTTGAAAACTTTTTCAGTGACTTTTTCAAAAAACAAATTGAAGTTCAATGTTAAAATCAAATTTGACCTTTTTCAATAGTTTCAACACAAAATCAAATCAAATACTGAGCTCTGCATACAGTACGACTAAATCATGTACAGTATATGGAAGTCTAACTGCTCCTGTTGTTTCATAGGAATTGCTTGACATGTTATATTCAGATGAAAACGATTCCTTATAAAATAAAATAAACATATTATGTGGTAATTGGTACAATAAACTATTCCCTCTCATAGTAATCAATAGATGAATTGTTTCAATTTTTCAAATTATAAATGTAAACATCATCAGAGAATAGTTTTTGCCAGTGGTTTGCAACCTTTTTGACTCCAATGCCCCCCAACAATATTCAAAAGTCCCAATACTTTTCCAGTTTTACTGGATAAGGAATTTTTTAAATAATTTTTACTCACAGTTGCTACTTGATAAAATATTTTACAGCTTGGAATAACTAGATAAATGTATAGCCATTATAACAAAATATTAAAAAGGTTTATTAATTTACATGACTTCTCCAGGTTTAGAAATCAAACTCATATAACTAGGTTTTTCAAGTGGAATTGAAAAACTCTTCATAGAAAAACACAGCTGTTGAGGGGGTGAATTAAAATAAGAAATCTCTTGATTTTTAGTTGTTTTTACTTATTTTAATACTTGTTTGTGACATTTTCATTATTGATCTGATGTCCGAGTATAAATGCCCCAGTTCTCAAAACACACATCAAAATATGTGGCATCTGAGCTTTTATAGAAACTATATTTCAAACCACTTTCTAAGTTGCTTTTGGTGGGTGTATAATATCATTTTCCCTAGTATAGTTCATCACATTAACAATGATCATGGTACACTAATTTTGGGCAATGCTGTCCAATTACATTTCGTAAGTCGCTTTGGATAAAAGTGTCTGCTAAATACATAAATAACATAAATGTAAATTTTTGTACCATCTTTAAAATAAACACAACTTGGTTTGATATTTAATGCAATGACATTAATACAGATTTAAGTGTGTCACGTGTGAGATGAGCCAAGTGAGGCTTAGTGGCCTGATTCATGAAATAATGGCACATGACAATTGAATGACTGTTCTTTTCTCAAATAAGGCAGGACGTGGCAATCAGGACAAAGTGAAACATAAAGGAGCGAATGCACAGCCAGAGATGCTCTTCAATTCATCAGAGCTAATGACCGATCATTTGAAGTTGTCACATGGTATCAGGTTGGTTGACCACTCTTTGAAGTGGACTCATGACAGGCTTTGTGACAAAGTGTGCAGAGAGTAGCGAGTCCAACTAAAGGACAAGACAGGAACACTGTGTAATGTACGTGTGCTGAGTCTGCAGTCAGGATGAGAGACCCAAATTGGAGTTATCTTTGAGCCAACTGAGCAACTGAATACAGAGAGGGCACGCGGAGCAGCAGGCCACTTTCAAAGTGCTTCACACAAGGCCTATGGTATGTATGTGTGTAGCGATTGAGAGAGAAAGACCTACTTTGAAATACAGCACCACATGAGATAAAGTGTGGATGTTGGTCAGAAGACAGAAACAAGCCGACATCTGATATTCATCACTGTGTGAGCAATATTTAAGGGTTGTCCTGGTGAACAATGTTTTAAAATACTGAAAAAAAAGAGAAAAAAGTAATCAGATCAGAAGACATGAAAATATCAAACAGAAAGATGGACTTAAAGAGTAAGAGTCTCCCTGTCTTCCATTCTCCTCCTTTTTTGGCATGCAGAATAAAAACAGGAGCCGACAGTGTGTTCCAGGCGATCCATGTGGCCCCTGCACAACGGTTTTGCCATCCTACTGCCAAACGAAGCACTGAGGGATGGCATGGAAATAGAAGAAGAAGAAAAATCAGGCGGCTGGTCTCCATTCATCTTTTGCCCCATTCCCTCCCTTCGCCCTGCTGCTCTCTTTGATGTTGCCTGATTAATCTGCCCTCCGCTCCCTTTGGTTTCTCTCGTCCACTTTGTGGTGCTCTGCCACCCTCCTCCACGAACAAGATGCTGATCACAGCACTAAAGGCAAAAGCTGGATTCAAGGAAAAGTTTTGGAAAAAGGGAGAGAGCAATGGAGGACACTTTCAGTATCAGTGTTCAGTTAGGAATAAGTGACCAGAAAGACCAATGATTACAAACAACTTCATATTAAAGCAATGTTCTGGGTTGATTATCCATTAAGCTTTACAAGATATGTGGCATTTCGTTGATAACCTCAGAAAATGATTTTTTAAAAATAATATCTAAAGTAATGCACTTACAGAAGACTGGAAGTGTATGAGGCAATGGATTAGGTTTAAAAGCACAAATGTAAAGCAATCATTTTAATTATTTAAAACCAAAAATGTTTGTTTGTTTGTTCTTTTTGTTTGTTTTTTGCGTTGTCTAAACACATTCTTTTAGTAGTGAGACAACTGTGAAATGTGAAAAGGGGGTTCTGATTGAAATTTGCTTGATGTGAACAGTCTTTTGTGGATTCTTAAGACCCATTCTGGTCTCCTTGCCTGTTTCAGTGAAGTTACCGCATTTATATATGTCAAAATATCGCATTTATGGCACAGACAAGTTTTATCAAAATAGTGCAATGTCAAAAGGTATAACATTTAAGTTTGTGGAAAATATTTTAGACTAGCACTACCATTGAAAATTAATTTTTGAAAGAAAGATATTAATTAATTGATCAAAAGAGACACTAAAGGCATTATAATGTTATAACAGAAGATTTCCATTTTCGCTCTTTTTAACTTTCTATTCATCAAAAAATCCTGAACCCCAAAAAAAGGAGTTAGGGGTGTGAGTTATAGCAACTCACTCTCTCATTCTGTTGGAAGGACGAGCTTCGCGTTTGTCGTTCGTTGAGCCCTGGATCAGTGAAACCACTCATGTCGTCACAGCCTTGGGGTCTGACGCACAATTGGAGCCAATGAGAGAGCAACTTGAGTTTGTGTGTGAGAAATTGTCGGCTTTTTCAAAATGACAGGGGGCAACAGAGGGAGGTTACATAAAGACATGGCACACAAAAACAAAAACGACACCCAAACAAGCCCTTCACAAAAAAAAAACCTGCGCAACAATAATGCTGAATAACACACAGGTATTGTGCACCAGTTATGAAACCATTTGTCTCTATTGTCTGGTGCTGAGAACAATTGAAAAGTGGGTCAGTGGGCTGAAAAAAATCAGCTCCCAACATTTCAGTTTGAGCAATTTTTTCCCAGAGAGTGTTTTCTGCGTGACATGCACGACCCCATTAGTTCATGTACCAAACTCTTTCAGAACACAACCTCAATGACGAAGACATCTGTCTGTATTAAGATGATTGATTAAAAGAGTCATACTTTATCTTATATTTGTATTCATTATTTTTTCCCTACAGTCCATTTATAATGTTAGTCAAGTTGTTTTGCACCAAAAATGTCTCTTTCATGAGAATCTTAGTCTCTTAAACCTTTTTCTGCCTTCAATACAGTTTTCTGTTATAGGTCTAATATATCTAAGAGGATGGGTTTTTTATGGAAGCCAACACAGAATAAAAAATAAAAATGCAACTTTATATCTCACAATTTTGACTTTTTTTTTATCCTCTTGCAATTCTGAGAATTCTCTCAGAATTGCAAGATATATACTCAGAATTGCTAGACATAAACTCACAATTCTGAAAAGTCAGAATTGTGAGTTTATATCTAGCAATTCTGAGTATATATCTTGCAATTCTGAGAGAATTCTCAGAATTCATATTGCAAGTATATATCTTGCAATTCTGAGAGAATTCTCAGAATTCTGCAATTGTAAGATAAACTTACAATTGCAAGAAAAAAGTCAGGATTGTGAGAAAAAAAGTTGCAATTACCTTTTTTATTTCTTTATTTAATGAACCAAAAAAAACAGGATTGTGAAATTCAGAGAAAAAAATCTGGACTGAGAGATTTAAACTTTTGTGAGATTTGTGAGATGTAAATCCAGAACTGCAAGAAGAAAAAGTCCAGATTGTGAGATATAAACTCAGAATTACAAGGGGAAAAAGTTAGAACTGTGAGAAAAAAGTTGTAATAACTTTTTTCTTTTTTTTATTCCATGGCGGAAAAGGGCTTCCACGGGTTTGCTACACAAAGTGTTATGGTTGGACTGAAGTGAACAACTTAAGCCAGTGTTTCCTAACAATGGTATCCATTTGAAGGATAGTGGCCTGATGCCTCCACTCACAGAATCTTGTCAGACTCTGTTCCATGTTTCGTGTGTGTCCTGCTCCCCATGTGCCTTCCCATGCCCTTATTTGGTTTGTTTCCTGTTCCTCCCCTGATTAATTAAGTTGATTTCTTCCCAGGTGTTTCCCTTGATGTGTCATGGCTCCCAGGTGTGTCTCGTCATCCCCTCCTCCTGTGTGTGTGTGTGTATATAAAGTGTTCCCAGTCCCTAGTTCTCTGTCCGATGTTGAAGGTCTTCGTGTGACCGTCTTCCTGTGTTCGTCTCCCTTGGTTCCTTGGTGCAAATAAAGTCTTGGTAAATCATTCTCCAGCGTCTCCTCGTCCCTCGTGTGTGTGCACCCGTGACAAATCTACTGAAGTCTGGTCAGAACAGGATTTAAAGGAAATGTCTAACCCACCATCACACTCAGTTAAGACGCACCTCCACTCCAGACATCATACAGTCACAGTGATACAGCAACTTCTCATCTGACACTTGAATAGTAAGTGAGTGACATTAATAAAAGACTCTTCATCTCCACCCCGGACTTCCTGTCTCTTCACTCATGATCCAAAAACACCTACAGACACTAGCAAAGCAGGAAGTGACATTTGTATAAAGACACTTTCAGTGCTGCAACAAAAAAATCTACACAAAACAACAACAAAAATCATATTTTGATTGTAGTACACCTACAACATAAAAGCAATTATTTAACTTTGCTAAAAACATGGTCTGTATAATATTACACTTAATATTTTCTCTCACACAGTATAAATAAGTATGTATTCCAAATTAAAAAAAATGCTTACATGCCTTTATATACTACGAAGGGGATCGTCATATTTGGTTGGCCTTCAAAAAGCTCGAAACCCCCTATAGGCTATATAGCGGTCCTCAAAGCTGACAAATTACAAATAAATACAACCAAAGTTGCATTTCAGAAACATAAAGGGCATTTTGTTGAGTTATTTAGTGTTAACTGGCGGTGTAGCATTTGCATCTAGTTTCTTTACTTGCCACTGCCAATTTCACGCCTGTTTTCTGAGCTTCTGACAGAGAAGTGCTGACAACACATTGCTTTATACACTTAACAAACTATTATAAAACAAAATGAGTAAAAATCACATCTAATGTATAATGTATTAGATGATGTACGTTTTTACCTTCATAATCATGACTGGTACCATAATCAAAACGTAGAGTCTGTATTTGGGACCATCATCCTACGCCAGCTGTGAAGGAGAGCGCTCGGCAGGATATCAACAGCGCCTTCTACTGGACAATGACGACTGTATGAGTTTTCAAATTTGATTTCATATCATCTCTAAATGAGGTTTATTAGAATCGTCAGTTCCGCGAAAGCGTGTGGCAAGTATGTAAGGGAAACCGTAGTTGATAAATTTATTAGCGAAATAAATCATTTGGGGTGAAAGCCAATAAACGTGGAGTAGTAGGCTAGGCTACTTGTAAAAAGGCACGTTTCTCGTGAACCCACTATTTCTGTTAAATCAACCAATTAATTTGGGTTTACACTCGATTTCACAATTTCGTAGATTCTCAGTTAATCAGGCCATGTTCACTCAATCTCGCTGAACGGCGCCAAAGAAAGAGTAAGACATTTATATATATATATATATATATATAACACGAAGAGCTTAATAAGCACTTATCATCAGCTTTTATGGGTGAAAAAAATAGAAATTCATTTAAAATGTTTTGTAAGTCAGCAAGTCTCAATGGAAGACGTCAGATGGAAAATACGTCTCCAGGAGTGGAGCTTTTTTTTTTTTTTAATCTTTGGTATAATGAAAACTCCAATAAAAATGTCCAATAAAATCTTCCAGAATTCAACACGTTTGATATCAAAGTTGTTAATTGTTATTGCAACTTACAAGACATCTGAAATAACCTCATGTACTTCTGTCTTTCTTTTAGTTCAGAATATGGTTGAAAATGTTTGATGTTTGACTCTAGTCTTGAGGGCCCTAAAGCCTATGTTGACATCAGAGAAAATTGTTCTTGTTGTATTGTACATAAAATAAATTAGGCTTGTGGGTTAATCCATTGGCTATTTGATTTAATCATCTTAAATGCATTCACGCTATTTAAAAAAAAAAATTTTTTTTAATCTATAGGGAACATTAATGTTGCCCCTCTCACACCTTCATTGGCAATTTACATTTACATTTAATCATTTAGCAGACGCTTTTATCCAAAGCGACTTAAAAATGAGGAGAACAATAGAAGCAATCAGACGAACGAGAGAGCAACAGTATACAGTGCTGTGACAAGTCTCAGTTAGTCTAGCACAGTACACATAGCTAGGTTTTTTTTTAATAGAATGGAATAGAATAGAATAGGTAAGTGCTAGTATTAGTTCGTCAGATGCTGGCGAAAAAGATATGTCTTTAGACGTTTTTTTTGAAAATGGCTTAAGACTCAGCTGTTTGAATTGAGATAGGGAGGTCATTCCACCAGCTGGGCACAGTCTAAGAAAAGGTCAGTGATAGTGATTTTGTGCCTCTTTGGGATGGCACCACAAGGCGTCGTTCACTTGCACAATGCAAACTTCTGGAGGGCGTATAAGTTTGAACTAGTGAGTTTTGGTATTGGTGCAGCGCTAGTTGTTGTCTTGTAGGCAAAAGTCAGTACCTTGAATTTGATGCGAGCAGCTACTGGTAGCTAGTGTAAACTGATGAAGAGTGGTGTAACATGAGCTTTTTTCGGCTTTGGCCGTTGTAGCAATATGGTCTGTGAAGCTTAACTGATCATCGATCACAACTCCAAGGTTCCTGGCTGTCCTGGAAGGAGTAATGGTTGACGAACCTAGCTGTATAGAGAAGTTGTGATTAAGTTCTGGGTTGGCTGAGACCACGAGCAGTTCTGTCTTAGCAAGGCTGAGTTGAAGGTGATGGTCCTTCATCCAGCTAGAAATGTCTCTCAGACAGGCTGCAATGCAAACAGCTACCGTGATCACAACTCCAAGGTTCCTGGCTGTCCTGGAAGGAGTAATGGTTGACGAACCTAGCTGTATAGAGAAGTTGTGATTAAGTTCTGGGTTGGCTGAGACCACGAGCAGTTCTGTCTTAGCAAGGCTGAGTTGAAGGTGATGGTCCTTCATCCAGCTAGAAATGTCTCTCAGACAGGCTGCAATGCAAACAGCTACCGTGCTTCTGAATGACAGATCCTAATGATGACATGTAGATGGAGAAGGGGAGAGGTCCAAGCACTGAGCCTTCAGGAACCCCAGTAGCAAGAAGTTGGGACTTAGAAACCTCACACCTCCAAGACACCCTGAAAGACCTACCTGAGAGGTAAGACTTGAACCATTGGAGTGCGGTTCCTGAGATGCCCATCTTTATGAGGGTGAACAGGAGGATCTGGTGGTTAAGGGTCAAAAGCAGCAGAAAGATCCAGGAAGATGAGTACTGAGGATGAGTACAATTGCAATTGCATTGGTATTTTCAGCTTTTCAGTACAAATAACACATTTATTCATCATCCTGTCTGAACTGTCATCCATACCAGATAAATAAAATTAAACGGAAGCATTAAATGCTATTTAATCAAATTATTCCCTCTCCTGTCTAAACTCACATGGATCTGAAAAGTGATAGAGCAACATGGATTTGAAAGGGATAGAGCTGTCCATGGTACTGAACATACGAACCACCATTAGGTCATTTCAAATTAATGT